TAACTACGTTTGTGTGTCCATCTGGTTGTGTCGTTAACTACGTTTGTGTGTCCATCTGGTTGTGTCGTTAACTACGTTTGTGTGTCCATCTGGTTGTGTCGTTAACTACGTTTGTGTGTCCATCTGGTTGTGTCATTAACTACGTTTGTGTGTCCATCTGGTTGTGTCGTCTAACTACGTTTGTGTGTCCATCTGGTTGTGTCGTTAACTACGTTTGTGTGTCCATCTGGTTGTGTCGTTAACTACGTTTGTGTGTCCATCTGGTTGTGTCGTTAACTACGTTTGTGTGTCCATCTGGTTGTGTCGTTAACTACGTTTGTGTGTCCATCTGGTTGTGTCGTTAACTACGTTTGTGTGTCCATCTGGTTGTGTCATTAACTACGTTTGTGTGTCCATCTGGTTGTGTCGTCTAACTACGTTTGTGTGTCCATCTGGTTGTGTCGTCTAACTACGTTTGTGTGTCCATCTGGTTGTGTCGTCTAAGTTTGTATTCAACGTGTGTCCATCTGATTGTATCGTTAACTACGTTTGTGTGTCCATCTGATTGAGTCGTTAACTACGTTTGTGTGTCCATCTGATTGTGTCGTTAACTACGTTTGTGTGTCCATCTGATTGTGTCGTTAACTACGTTTGTGTAAAACGTGTGTCCATCTGGTTGTGTCGTCTAACCACGTTTGTGTACAACGTGTGTCCATCTGGTTATGTCGTCTAAGTAAAAGTAAGTGGCAGATAGAACTACATTAGGGTGTTTCACTGGATATAGATTTTTTCAAACAGTTCACAGCCTATAGCAAAGCTGCTTGACGTACCTTTAGAGTACCCTAGTTACCAGACAGGCCTACAGTTCGTGCAAAAGCTTCATCTAAATCATCAGCACCTCTTTGTTAGGTTTAAACTAAAATATAGAAAGTGTCCACTGTTGTCCTAGTTTGTTTTTTGTTTAAATGTCAACTTCAGCCCAAAGTCACCTGTACAGGTAATCTTGTAATTAATTTTTTACCTCTCTGACGAGCGAGTTCCGGCCCTCGTTTTAAAGGTTTCCTTACTAAAACGTCAATGGGAGGATGGATGGGGGAGGGGGGGGGGGGTAACATGCACTTAAACCCCTGTCTGTTTAACTTAGGTCTGTCTTCTTACGGTGATCAAATACTTTTTTCCTCAACTTTTTTTTATCCGTCTCAACATCATTGCAATGCGTCATTAGTGCGACTTTTATTGAGATCTACGTAAGGGAAAGAATTCGGTGCGTTTTTTTTTATTTCACCATTTGAGTTGATGAGTTTGATGTATAGCAGCAGTTCTCTCCCCGCTGTTCTATTGTGAAGGCGTACAACTCGGCTTTGATACAAAATGTGGATTGTATTCCAACGTCAGATACGAAACTAAATAAAAATATACTAAAAGAGGTTCATGTTTCGTGAAAGATTAATCTAGTGTCAAAACTTGTATTTCAAGAATTGGAAGCGGAGAAAACAGAATAAAACACGGTTTATTGTGCGACTATTTCTGTGTGGAATTGTATTAGAGTTCGGCTAAGGTTTCTTGTTGACCTATTGTGCTTAGTGGGGCGTCAAGATTTGGGTTTATAGTGGTGTGAGATTTTCCTAGCTTGGAGTTTCTGATTTATTATCCTACTGTGCATTAGTACCTGTTTCAGTAAAATAGGAATAAATTTACCGTTAATATATAAGGAAATTTACTATTCTTAAATGTATTCCAGTTATATAAAAATTGTGTGTTACTCACTTGTTCATATATCTGAGGATTATATTTATATTTAATAATCATGAATGGAACAGGCTTTCAGAATTTCGAATTGTATTTTGTGTTGAATACTACTACTTGGGCTTAGACCTTATTTATTTTAGTTTCGAATTTTCCCTAACCATAATTATCGTGTAACCCTCGACATAACGCTGTGTCACTTACTTTAGGGATGGTGAGAACTTTAATACGTTTTGTTCAACATCCTACAACGCACTAAAGATTTACGTAAAAGATTTTTGTTGAACTACACCTTACGTGGGAGGTGTTTGAACGTTGCCAATAGACCGTATCGTCTTGCTACGCTGATTTTTTAACTGATCCACCTGAAGGTTTGATACTACCAAACCCAATACAATTCTACACCTTAGTGTATAGGTGTGTAGGCTTTGTGTGTTGGTGTTTAAACTTTTTTATGTACTGTCATTCATGCTGGATCTAGTGAGTTGCGTTGTATAAGTTACTTATACTATCTCATATTTTAAGCAGTAGATTTGTGCTGTTTTGGTTATATAAATCTAGTGTGTTGTATAAGTTACTATCTCATATTTTAACAGTAGATTTGTGTTTTTGTAGATCTGAATCTAGTGAGTTGTATCAGCTACCATCTCATATTTTAAACGGCAGATTTGTGCTGTTGTGGTTATATGCATCTAGTGAGTTGTGTTGTATAAGTTACTATCTCATATTTTAGTGTTGTATAAGTTACTATCTCGTATTTTAACAGTAGATTTGTGTTCTTGTGGTTATACGAATCTAGTGAGTTGTAGCAGTTACTATCTCATATTTTAGCAGTAGATTTGTATTGTGGTTATAATGGATACAGTGAGTTGTAAAGTATAAGTTACTATCTCATATCTTAAGAGTAGATTTGTGTTGTTGTTGTTGTAATGTTGTGGTATGGCATATGCTACTATCAATCAGACATAATCTACTATCAGATGTTTTAAACATGTGTAGATTTGTGTTTGTAGTAGTGGTGCGGAATGACATATACTACTATCAAAAAGACATAAGCTACTATCATATGTTTTAAACATATGTAGATTTCTATTACTGTAGTTGTAGTAGTGTGATATGGCATATGCTACTATCAGATATTTTAAACATGTGTAGATTATTGTGCTGTGTTTGTTGGCTAATTCGTGTCATAAATCGTAAACATTGTGTGTAGATAGTGCTGCAGGTATCGAGAGAGAAGTAGAATTAGCGCTAGCACTTTATTTAACCTGTATGATTCATCACTTTGGAACGTTCACAACCGGTTCGGTTTTGTTTCACATCAGTTGATAGATATGTGGTTTAAGTTTTTAATTAATTCTATATAATTGTTTTTAATTTTCGTTAACTCTTAGTTAAAGGATATAGGAGACTATTTTTATACGAACGTAAATGTAAAAACGACTATGTCGTGACTATATCATAGAGAAACTATAGCGTAGATTTATTTTATTTAAAGAAAGTGTGTTTACAATGAGTGGTGTACATTAGCGGTTTAAATTTTCATCGCTAACGCTGGTACGGTACTGAAATCATATCTTGGCGAAATAACAAGCCACAAACAGGAAGGATTGTGTTAAAGTTTACCTACACTTGGGATAGACTTGGGATACATATTTTCTAGCACCAGAGGGCGCTAAATGTTGTGCGCACACAGGAACCTTGACGTCATGGCTGATGCTGACAGTTCCAGGGTCAGCATGACGCACCAGGATGATTTCGTCACGATGACGTCATCGCCTGAGGTATGAACTGTAACAGAGCATGAACTTGTCTTTCAGCATTTGTCGTTACTCAAGATATTTAAAGTCCAGGAATACCAACTAAACTAACAGGTCCAGTCCACGTTTAAAATTCAACCGTTCCAGTTATGTTAAAAACGAAATAGTCCAAACCAAGTTTAAAGTTGAAGTAGCCCAAATAAAACTTTCCGTTATGTTATTGTGAAAGCCTTTCATCCCTTATCTCCTCACTACTTCTATATTTTTTTTCTTCAATTAGTTTAAAGATTTTAATGTTCCTTATGCAACTTGTTTTCTGATGTCAGCACATAACTAAGTATTAAACAACTACACATACACTCGTCCAGTGTTTCTTCCAGACTTTTTTCTCCGGGGGGGCACTTGAAATCTTCGGGGGGGGGGGCGGACACTGTTAAAAGTATATATTTTCTATATAAATTATATAAATTTCATTTCGTTCGGGGGGGCGGTAAAAATTTTTCGGGGGGGCTTCGCACCCCCGAAGAGATGCCTGGAAGAAACTCTGCACTCGTCCCTTTCTTCAACAAGAGGTAGATATGTATCTGATGAAGCAACAAAACAACGACATGTTCTTTGTTTCAACTGTGTTTATAACTCTAAAAACTTTCACGTCATTCTGAAAGTCTGTTGTGACTCCAAAGTTACATTACGTGATTCTAAAACTTTGATGTAACTCTAGACAGAGTGCCATTCACGTAATTCTGAAGTTCTGATTTGAAAGTGACTTTCTGGAACGCTCATGCTACTTAAGTCAACGTGACATTCACGTGATCCTGAAACTCTGACGTGACCCGAGTCAACGTGACACGCCATGACTCATGTTCCAGCTTTTTCTTCTTGTCCCCGCTACCGTCATCCTCTAATCCAACACATCTACTCTACCCCGTGCCTCGTTTTCAACTGTTTGACGTGTCAATGTTTGAGCTTTTCTGCTAATCCAAGTTCACAAGCCTCGTTAAACGAGTAACTTTCATTGGTCAATTTTTTATATCTTTTAACAGGACGTATAAAATAGACATAAGAAGCGAATTTAATGGGTTTGATGTGCATAATTGCATAGACTGACCTCACTATTTATAAATATATCCTGGATATGACTCATGCACATTTCTAAAGTACTTTATTTCTAAAACATGCTGCTTTACTGTATATTTTTGTTGTACCTTTTTAAGTCGATAAAGCAATGCCTGTTTTCTCCTATTTGTTACACATTTCTTAAAATCTTGGTGTCGCGTTAAAACATTGGCCAATACCTAATTAAAATTATTGTTTAACCTCCCATCATCCTCTCTTCATATTTCTACTTAAAACTTAAACAATTTATGTTTATTAATGATACTCAGCCTCGCTAATAGTTCGAAAAAGTAGAGCTTTTAAAAAGCGTGAATTTCTCCAATTGAATGTTTCAGACTCGGCGATAACTAAAAATGTCTGTATACACTGACTATTAGTATTGCCCTTTTCTGTTCATAGATTGGCCATCCAGAAGAAAATATCCTCTACACACGTCGCACTATCCAAGATTCGATTTCTCAAAACGATTCGATTAACTCAAACGTAGAATACCTTGATGACAGAAACAGCATCGATACCAGTGGTATAAATCAATCAGAGATCGGGATCAATACCGAGCAACAATCAAACACCGCTGAATCGAACCAGAGAATCGATTCTTCAGAGGCTGGGATCGAAACCTCAGATTCTTCTGATCATAACCAAAACCTACAGCCAACCACAGTCACCACACTGACCACTCGAGGGCCAGACAGGGGCGACAACCAAGGGGAAAACATGGGTGAAAATATTTGTCTGGAGGAGAAGCTACGACAGTTTCAGAACGACAACAAAAAAGGTAACTGATTTTTTAAAAACTTGTTTTTGTATTTGAACTTCAACTGACTTGTTTAGAGGTCGTGTGTCTTTGTTCATCAGAATCTAATTTATTAAAGTAGCTACTGCTAGAAAAAAAAACTATTTGTAAATAAAACAGTATATCATCATATCCAGCTACTGTAATGTACTGATCACCATATTATACTGATCACCATATTGCACTGACCACCATATTGCACTGACCACCTTATTGCACCGACCAGCTTATTGCACTGACCACCATATAATTACACTGACCACCATATTACACTGACCACCATATTACACTGACCACCATATTACACTGACCACATATTGCACTGACCACCGTGGTACTAGCTAACGTGATCTCCAATATCCATCATTATGTTAAGTTTAACCTCTGAGATATTCCTAACCACAAAAACCGTACTTTGCAAACAAACACATTTTTTTTTTAAGTTAACCGTTGCGCATTTTTAAGAATTCTCACGAACTTCAACTAATTAACTAATTAGCAAAGACGATGTCACGAAGGCACATCGATGTAGTCTTACTTGTTTAACCAGATTTTTCAACATTCTTTGAACCGTATGCAAAAGGCGTATTTGCTTGACCAGATTTGGCATTTTTTTGAGCCTATAACGCGAAAGATTTGAGCAGCATTGCAGACCATTTTCTGAGCACTCCGCCCAACTCGCACATTAGAGTACACAAGTGGTATTAGGCAGATGGGTCAAACTAATTCTAGTTCTGAAGATGTTATCGAAGATGATGACGACGATAACACGTCAGCTGATAATTGTGGTAATCTTAGTAATTATCGATCAACGTTGGACGATGATTCCGACGATGATAATGAAGAAGAAGAAATGAATTCTCTCATTTTAAATGAGTTGTCTTTGTGTAGTGGTAAGTTGTTGCGAATTTAAACGCCGTTTTCTGTTTGTTTGTTTTTGATAATTGTCGGTTATTGAAATGGTGGTATTTACATTTCTAGAATCAGTTGAAAGAAAATGCAAAATGTTGAAATTCTCGTAGGCATGTTGGAGTCTGGCGAAGTTGGGGCGAAAAATCTAGTTTGAAAATATCTATTTTGAAAGATCTCATTTGAAAATGTGTATTTTGAAAAGATCTAGTTTAAAAATATCTAGGTTGAAAACAAGAACTGTAGAGTTTGCTTTTTACCCGATCAATGTTTGTTCGACTCAAATAGTTGACTTAGTAGTTTTGTGTTTTGATTTTATTTAAACAACAGCGCCAGTTTTTATACCTGTTCTAAATAGACTGTCGCCTATACAACCTTGACATAACGGAATAACAAGGTGAAAATATCATGTGTGTGCATATATATATATATATATATATATATATATATATATATATATATATATATATATATATATGACTAATCATATATAAGATGATGAATTTTTTTATTTTAATTAATATTAATGGAGCAATGTATAACTCCACTCTTTAAAAAACCTTGCATACACCCGTGACTTAAGCAGCAATACAATTTAATGATTGGAAATCTGTCAGAAATTAAACACCAACATAAACAGCAGTAAGTTATTCTGCCTGCCGAGTGAGAACTGTCATAACGTGTCTGTAGCCTAGTGTCCCAGATTTGATACGGCTGTATGAATGTACACCCATGGACGTGACTAATGAGGATAATTTAATGATGCAGTGATTAGCACGTCAACCAGTTTAGCACCTTGTGCCATTCATTCCTAAGTTTAATTTTGCCTACTGTTATACACGGGCTTCTGTGTTGTTACAATGGATTGTTCAGATTTTTTACATGAGTTTTTATTCTTGTCTCAAATTTCGTCACATAGTTGAACTAGCATATGCAGGCTTTTAATTATTCATAACTAAATCGTGCCATTAAAAAAATGTAAACCGAAAGTAGTCAATAGCCAGTAGTTGTAACTTAATGTAAGACTATTGTCGTTTTGAGTGTTCTTATGGGAGGGTGTGTCTACCCCTCCCCTGTCTTCTCCACTCTCGACAAAAAATTAAAGTCGTCATGTCGACTTACTGGAACTCGGTTTCTAAACACTATTTGTTTTTTATGCCATTCTGTATTTACAATCGACCGGAGATCAACACCGACCTAAAACCAATTCCACTTGACTCAGAGTCATATAGAGAGATAACGACGATTTTTTTTCCTTAACATCATATTATTATACCCATTATGAATCTAACACTTGTATTTAATCGTTTACCTGTGTGTAAAAATCTAACAAAGCCGTGTTTTATTACAGATGAGAAAGAAGACACACGAGGGACCTACAACTCCTCTCACATATCCGACCTCGAGAAACAGAGGCGGAGGAATCTCATCTTCGACGAGGAGCGGTTCGAGGAGACGTTCCTCAAGTGCCTGATCTGCCGGGAGGTCTACAACGAGTACGACAAACTCCCCAAGATGCTCCACTGCCACCACACCTTCTGCATGGACTGCCTGTTCCAGATGTACCGGGTGGAGGGCGAGTTCCGGCAGTCGCTGACCGGCGTCTTCCGAGACCGGCCCATGACGGTCAAGATCCAATGCCCGACGTGTAGAGAGGGCGTCTTGATCTCCGAGACGGAGCTCCGCCGTCTGCCCAACGACCACACCATCATGGAACTGCTTTGTTTCGTCAGCCAAACCGGCAAGCAGGAGGTGCAGTACTGCACCAAACACCAGATGCAGCCGTTGAACTTTTTCTGCGAGCCGTGCGTCATGCCCGTCTGCTGCGACTGTACGGTCATCGACCACAAAGAGTCCAAAGGTCACGTGGTGGTCAACGTGGACGAGGCTATGGAGAAGTACACGCCCATTGTTGAAGAAACTCTCGAAGACATCAACTCAGAAAAGGCAGACCTGGCCATGAAGCGGGATTCTCTTGACGGGGCCCAGAACGACTTGGATGAAATACAAAAAGACTTGACCAACCAAATCCGATCCGTCTTCGACAGCATCCGTCAGCAACTGGACGACCGCGAGAGAGAACTCTACGACATAGCGGACTCGGAGATCGAGAGGAAACGATGCGTGCTGGACAGCCACATGAAGGTCGTGGTGGACAGAGAGAACCAGCTGGACGCCGTGTACACGGAGCTGGAGAGGGCTAAAACTGACCGGGACATTAGTTTAATCTTCACCGGACACAAGACTGCCCGGGACGCCCTGGCCAAGACTGTAGAGATCCCTCTCAACACAACCAAAGGGTTTTCAGTGACGTTTCAGTTCAGCAGTCGGGCTGACTCCAGCATCAAACAACAGGTGGGGAATTTGGGGGATATTATATTCCATTCTTAGGCACTAGTTCACGGGACATTTTCTTTCATATAATACTTTGTTTCATTTTCATGCAAACGTTATTTTTTTAAAATCATTTGTAATGTGTAAATTTCAATTATTTTTTAATTGTATACGACAATTTATTTATTTGAAACAACAAATGTTTTTTTCTTACAGTTCAATTTATATTAAATAAAATAGTTAGGCTACAATTTTTTACAAATGACTGTTTTATATAGAGGCACTATTTTTACAGAAGTGGATGAAATTGTATAAGAATGCAATGTGCTTTTCAAAATTTCAACTTGTAACAATTAATCTTTATAGTGTTTTGTGTCAATGATTATGAGTTGGCATGCAAGAGAGAAAAAAAGTGGTTTGCTGAAAAAAAAAATGAAATTAAAAATGTGAAAAATCTTAGATTCTAGTCAACAAAGTTAACATAAACACATGTTTTTGCCGGAAAAAAATAATTTACTAGCGTGTTGTGTTAAATTATGCGATTTTTAAGTTTGTTTTCGTTTAGCTTTTGTTTTTGCCATGAATAACTCATATGAAAAGTGAACTAGTAAAATAAATACGCTGGATGTGTATTGTAGCTATTAGTTCATTTCAGAAGGTTAACAATATTTGAAGTAGAATCTAAATGTGTTGAATGTATATATACAAAATTATTTATTTTTTATAACAAGATGTATGATATTAACTGGCAACTGTATCGGATGCTTGTCCAAACTGAAAGAATTTTGTTTTATTTTTTGAAATGTCATAACTATTCATATATTAAAAGTACAATCATATTAATTGCTCTTTTTGTTGATGAATTTACTTTACTTTTTTTTGTTTGTAATTCGTGAGTTTTGTTAATCATGTACAGTAAATAGTATAAGAGCTCCCTACACACCAACAAACGTATCGAAGAACTAGTTATAAATACAATTTTAAATGGGATTAGGATCAGCGAGTTAACAAAATGCGAGAAGGCAATCTGTTCACTTGTTGGTTATGTAAGTGGGTAGCCCTAAGATATTGTATTAGAGATGTGTTCCTCTATCTGGCGTATCATTGAGGTGCAGAAGGCAATGAGTACATGCCCTGACGATCTCTGGCACCAGAGAATTGTGAAGACTTGTTTAAAAATGGTAGAGCGTTTCATTGGTTCGTGTATCAGAATCTCATTTTAATTGGAATTTGAGAAGCATTAGCTAGTAAATAGACTCCAAAGCCTTATTTTGGACCTGATTCTGCTTAACAAAAAAACCACTGCTATAGCTCTCCATTTCAAATGTTAAAATCATATTGCTATTTTTGGAACTGATTCTGTCCAACGATAAACCCCTTCTATTGCCATCCATTAGAAATGCTGGAATCTTCTCTCATAGAATGGAAGTCATGTGAAAATGATATGGCATCCATACAAGTCTTCTGTAATCCTATAGCCCTCCATACATCTGTCACTGCACGGATTGCGTCAGACTAAACCTTGTACGAAGTTCGTCTATAGACTATATGGTAATCAGTCTTTTACATTAGGTACAGGCAGCCTGCAACTAAATCATATTCGATCAACCCCACCTAAGCCCCCACCCACATCACATGCCTGAACATCACCCGACTCAAATATCCACACAATACTGCTTCATTGTGTTATATTCTGGCTGGCAGATGTTTGATCATCGTAGGCCTACTTGTCAGTGGAGTAGATTCTGCTCTCATTTACTCCCATCTTCTTTCTTTGTTTCTCCAATTCTCTCCCTCCCATCTCACCCTCTCTCTAATTTTCTTCCACCAATCCAATTTCCCCCTCCCTCTTCCTCTCTCTCTCTCTCTCTCTCTAAGTCTCTCCCACCCATCTCTCTATCACCCTCACATCTCTAACAACCAGACGATGTCACAAGCCTATAAATACACCTTACAACTTTCCACACCAACCCCCCTCCCCCACAAGAAATTTTTAACGGGTTGGCAAACATCCAAACCTAATCGTGACCTACCTTTTGGGACAATCCTGTTGGGCTGACTTTTTTTTATAACGACTTTTGGTCTCTTAAAAAACACGGGACCATTATTCACCTGACTACGCTGTGACCTACGCCTACGTCCCTTACCTACACGAGCTAGGGGGCTCTACCGCGTTTAGTCCTGTAGTTTGCTCCTTGTCAACTGACTATCAACAATTTATTGCCAATAACACTTGACGTCCTACTCAAGACGTTTAGGAGGGCGGCGGAAGGGGTGTGTCCATAGAGATGTCAAGAGAATTTAGGCAGCACGCGCCCATATGTATAGGCCATATACATATATATACATATATATATATATATATATATATATATATATATATATATATATATATATATATATATATGTATATATATATATGTATATATGTATATACATACATATATATATATATATATATATATATATATATATATATATATATATATATATATATATATATATATATATATATATATATATATATGCGCACTTATCGTGATCTCACAAAATGTAACCCATTCTAACCAAATGTGATTCCAATAAAAAAAAATTCATTGGTGTATTTTACGAGGCTCTATCTCTGAAATTGTTTGATTTGGAACTTAAAGAAGTAAAGACGACTGGAATCCTTCCTTTCCCACTCCCCCCCCCTTCCCCTGTAGTAATAAAGTGTGGATGATCTTATGATCTTCACCTAAATAGATAAGGCACACGACGTAGTATTTTGTGTCCCATTAAGCTTCAATAAAAATGGTAACAAATCACTATCAACACCAACCAACTAGCAGATGCTAAACGTCAACGAATAAATTGGGGATTTAAATTTATTTATTTTTAAACGAGATACGTTGATGAAGTGTAAACGGTTTATTTTATTTATGATTGCAATGGGTTTAACCACAGTAGGTCGTTACTCTATGTAGATCTTATATACGTCACATTAGAAAACAGAATGTCAATTTAGTATTAAGTGGGATTTTTTTTTTGTTAAACACACATAAAAATTTAGCATGATTTTAAACATGGGACACGCATTTAATTTTTTAAAAATACAAGTGTACAACGTCTACTAAATTTAACTTTTATTAGATATCTTGTTATTTATAGTTTAAATAATTAGTATACTCCGCTTACAAAAATATTATTTGGCCGTCACTGGCCCGCGGGCCCACTTGGAAGTACCAGGTTTTTTAAACAGCTTTTTTCTTTCATTAATAAAGGAAGAAGGTGGCAGAGGGTTGGAAGCCAATTCATAGCATGTCCCCTGGGGATCTTACAATTTTTATGCACCAAAAAATACATAAAACTAAAGCTGTTTGGATTCTTTGTTCCCGCACTTGTGTGTACCACGTGACAGTCGCGCGAAGCCGATCAATAACGTTCAGTTGGCCTACAGAGAAAACCCATTTTACCTTGTGACAGACCGGCCGCCTTCAAAACGAGGAATTTAGGTGACAGTCGCGCATGCGCTGAATATTATTAATTCATACACACTCCTCCTGCAGTATCGATACTGAGACGAATTATAAAGACTGAGCGATACTTGAAGGATTGTTAGCCTAAGCAAACATAAAAACTAAACAATACTTTCTCTATACTTCGTATATACGAGAAAGTAAAAAGTTTGGAGTAAAATTTATCATACCAGCCTAATGTGTAATAGTATTTTTCATTCACTATCCTAGGTTTTATCTCATCGCTAAAAATTACAAGGTATAAAAGTTGGAAAAATTAACAAAATTGAAAATATCGTAACGTAAAGAAATAGATCTAGTTAATAGATTTTTTAATAGGGCTATTAATTTAACCTATACTTTTTAAAATTAAAAAAAAATACACTTGACTATGATGTAGATCTATATGCTCATTCGAAATTTCTAAAATTAAAACTTCAGGAACTGATCAACTGAAGCTTATCCTAATGTCCTTTGTCTAACCTTCACCACCTTCCATGATATTTTTAAAAGGTTTTAAAATAAATTAAAACGTTTAATTATTCATGAGGATTCTACATTCGAAATGGTAATCTCTTTTATCCTTTTAACCCTGTCCTACGCTTAAAAATCCCCCTTCCCCTCTCGCATTTTATTAAATAACGCGATAAGGAAGTGTTGATGAGGTATCGATATCGACATTTAAGAAACTGTAATACCGTCCGGTATCGACTGCAAAGCACAACAAAACAATGCGGTAATGTTTTGGCCCTGTTCTCGTATCAAGTATTCTCACACCCGCCCAATGTCGACGCCTAGCCTGAAAAGCGTAGGTTGTGTGTGGAGTTGACGCTGCCCTAGAACAGAATTTTATGTTCGTTATGGATTATTCTTGTGTGGGGTTCCTAGCAGTGTTCCACAGACGTATTCTCGTCAACACATAACCATAACAGTACAGTGAACACAACTTCGCCATAACTTTTTGTTATCTTTTTGCCGAGGTGAGTTTCGAATTTGTATTATTTGCGCAGTAGACCTAATCCTAAACTAATAAAAACGTCCTTAGCCCTAAGCTTACACTTACACCTATTATAATTGTAGATAGATCTATATAGCCCACTTCCCCCCCCCCTGTAAAATTATTATAAAATATAGATCTACAACACCCACTAAATTGATTGACTATTAAAAAAAAATGTTAAGGGGTGCACGTTGTTTACCTTAACAATTTTTAAAATGATCTAAAAACTAGTAAATGATTAATGAATAACGGTTAATTAATGTTTAATTAATATATACTAATTAAAATTAGAACTACTATCTATATCGTATTGTAATCGATTTTTAAATATTTTAAATAGATTACCATTTAGAATCTTGATCTAGATTTAGATCTAGATCTACATTTAATTATTCAATATAAAACAACTATTTTTTTTTAAGTTAAGATATCTTCCCGTGTATCATTGAATGTTTTGTATGTAGAAGTTATAACATATTATGCTGAGGTTAAGTTCTAGATCTCTTTTATAAACTGTTATTACTTGTATGGTGTTGTTTTGTAAAAATTGTAACCATTAATTAATAATTAAGGCTTACAGAGTGATCATTCACAAAAAAGCTTCACACACTTAGCGAGAGGGGCGAGGGGTATTGTCACTGCGATCTGTGTGACAATGGAAGTTGTCGGCTTAAAAACAATTAGTAGAATATATTCTAATTTAAAAATAAATATTATGATCGTAATATTATGGTTAGCTAAAATTATCATTAATCATGTTGTAGAGGGATTGTTGGGCTGAACTAGGGTCATAATTGGGTGGGGTGGGGAAAATCGGTCAAAATAGCTTCAAGTCATTAATAAACTTGTTATCAAATATCCAAATCAGAATATGTCATTATTGTTGTCATTATCAGTTTTACTTACATTAGACTACAAACATAATAGATTTGTAGCACGGGATATACATTTGGGCATGTGAAATTACACGGTGTTTTATAATGTCAGTGTGAGGTCTGCTATGATGTAAGCCTTGTAAGCGATTACTGTAGGGAGTAGGGGGTCTGTAACAGAGTGTGTAAGACAGTTGTATTATTGTTAGGTAGTTGTGATGTTGTCAGGTAACTTTGATGTTGTCAGGTAGTTGTGATGTTGTCAGGTAGTCGTGATGTTGTCAGGTAACTGTGCTGTTGTCAGGTAGTTGTAGTGTTGTCAGGTAGTTGTGATATAGTTAGGTAGTTGTGATATTGTAATGTAGTTGTGTTATTCTCAACTAGTTGTGAATGTTGTTAGGTAGTTGTCTTAGTGTCAGGTAGTTGTCTTATTCTCAAAAGCTCTGATGTTAGCAGGTAGTTGTGATATTGTAATGTAGTTGTGTTATTCTCAACTAGTTGTGAATGTTGTTAGGTAGTTGTCTTAGTGTCAGGTAGTTGTCTTATTCTCAAAAGCTCTGATGTTAGCAGGTAGTTGTGATATTGTAATGTAGTTGTGTTATTCTCAACTAGTTGTGAATGTTGTTAGGTAGTTGTCTTAGTGTCAGGTAGTTGTCTTATTCTCAAAAGCTCTGATGTTAGCAGGTAGTTGTGATATTGTAATGTAGTTGTGTTATTCTCAACTAGTTGTGAATGTTGTTAGGTAGTTGTCTTAGTGTCAGGTAGTTGTCTTATTCTCAAAAGCTCTGATGTTAGCAGGTAGTTGTGATATTGTAATGTAGTTGTGTTATTCTCAACTAGTTGTGAATGTTGTTAGGTAGTTGTCTTAGTGTCATGTAGTTGTGATGTTGTCATCCAGGCCTATCTATCTGGGGGTCTATCAGAGGTCCGAACTAACTTAAACATGGCAGTACGTATGCCTATATAGCAGTGTTTCTTCCAGACTTTTTTCTCCCGGGGGGAGGGGGTGGACACTGTTAAAAGTATATATTTTCTATATAAATTCCATTTCGTTCGGGGAGGGGGGCGGTAGACTCTTTGGGGGGGGGGCACCCGAAGAAGAAACACTGCTATACAGGGACATCCGTATTAACAAATATCACAGGTGACCGTGTTCATTCTACTTTGTCAACGGGGGTTTTTTTTTAGATCCAGATTCTTGTCTAGAAAATGTGGGGGTGGGGTGTTCTGCTTATCTCTGTATGGCTGTTTGAGTTTTGGCACGTTCCCTTGAAACCTTGGACTGAGAAATGGCAGGAGCCATTTGAAACTTTAAACCAGTACCGCCTGTAGGCATTAGCTCTCAGGTCGTAAGTACTTGGGATTTGAAATCTTGTAGTGAACTCCTAGTAGCGAGATCGTCGCCACGCTTTGAATTTTTTTTAGCCCGGTGTTTCATAAGAAAAGACACGTTTTTATAACGTACGTATGTTGTTTACTTTTATGTAAAACCGTGCAGTACACGACAGCTCTTCTGTATGGTCAATTGTGAAGTTTCAGGTTCGAAGATTCAAATTGCCTGAGTCTTTTTTTTCCTATTCTAGATTAACATGGAAGTTATGAAAATTATATTTAATAAAAACGAGGCGGGGGGGGGGGGGTGAATTTTGAATAGAAACATTAAGTACGGGTGGTATGTTCCGCCACAATCTTCGTGTGGTGTGTTAGTGTATGTTAGTGTCCACGCTTGACCTACCACCAACACCAGTTCTACAAGGTAGACTTCTCTTCTATGGTAGTTTATGGTTGTGATGTCTTTTTTTTAATGGGGCAGTATTTTTTTTTTTACATGCAGCTATTTTAGACAAATTTAAATATTATTCAAATAAAAGAGCGAAACAGCAGGTGCATCACATTTGAAGGCTTAAAAGCGACTCGTGTGTTGCACGTCGGCACGGTCAGCTGCTGTGTGCAGCCTAATTCTCACAGCATTGTGGTGAGGCTAATTTCTTGGTTAATGAGTCAGGTTAACAACAGGTGAGTCACCGGGTTTCATAGCACAGATGGTGGTGTGATTGGGTGAAAATGTGCTGTAGGCTTGTTTACATTGTAATTTATTTCTCTTTGAGAGCTTATCGCGAGCGCATTAATAATTGGATTAGTTGAATAAATCCTAAAATAAACTTAAAAAATAGATTTAATAATAAAATACTTTAAAAAAACTTTTTAAAAAACCACGTTTTTCTTGTGGACTAAAAAGTAGAAAATAAAATTTTCTTTTGTGCTTCCTCGAGCTGTGCAGGTTCTTGTGATGACTGACAAAAAACGTGGGTACGTTCACCATCAAATTTCCCGACCCATCTGCCCGACCCACGTTTTTTGTCAGTCATCACAAGAACCTGCACAGCTCGAGGAAGCACAAAAGAAAATTTTATTTTCTACTTTTTAGTCCACAAGAAAAACGTGGTTTTTTAAAAAGTTTTTTTTTTAAGTATTTTATTTTCTCCTTTTTAGTCCGTTGCTACACATGAAAAACGTGGTTTTTAAAAAAGTGTTTATAAATACACGGACTAAAAATCTTGAGCGACCAGGATTCGAACCTGGGTTGTCGCGGCCACAACGCGAAGTACTAACCACTATACGATCACGGCCAGCGCGCTCACATCGATTGGGGCCGAAGTAACTGTGTCAATAGGCCTCCAGTCTTGTCGGTATCTTTAGAAATCATGTCCTCAATTTTATGGTCCTTGGGGCGTAATTAAATTAAGCTAATTACGGTCACTAATTGCTAGTTTTTATGATTGCATCTGAAATTGTTAGGCGAAAGTAGCATGCATGCCAAATTTCAGGTCTCTAGAGCAATCAGAAGTGGGCTAATTTTCGATGTCAATTTTAACAACAAACATCCAAACAACCAAACAAACAAACGCGAAGCTGAGTTAAGAAAAACGTGTTTAAAAAGAGTAGCAATTATAAACAACTGTTTGGGAAAAAAAATTTCAAAATCATCGGCCATAACTATTTAGATAGATTTTTACAGCATAGTTGTGTTATAGGTTAAGTATTTAAGTACGATATTACGTGTGATTCAAGATTTACAAGTCGGAAATTTTGGTGTTTTTTTTTTAACATTTTGGGTAAAACATTTCACTGGCAACTCTCTTGTAGTTTTTGTTGTTGTTAAATATTGCTTGCTGGCCCCTACAGTTGTCTGGTCTAAGTTTTGACTAGTAATAGTTATCATAGTTCCTGGGTTGGTTGTTAATTCTCCGCTCTTTGAAGTTCTGTAACGCTAGTATAAGACCTCCCTTACCACCACAGTAGCAGGAATAAAACCTTCTCCAAACTTTGCAGTGGTGTGCGAGAATTACCTGGTCTTATACCTGTGTATGTTTGATTTAAAGCTAATGAATTTGAAGGTGGGTGATGCTTTAAAAAAACCTACTTAATACGCTAACGATTTCTTCCTATTTGAAAAGTTTCAAAGTTTGGCTTCGTGTACATAAGATGTAAGAATGTTTGTCTTGTATTCACTGTGTGTTGTGCTACAAAGCTGCTTCACGAATACCTACCCTCCGTTAGGCTTTGTTTGAATGAATATGAGAAGGGGAACGGACTGTTTGTTTTTGCTGTAATTAACGCCAAATTTGTTCAGGAAGGCTGAAAGTTTACGGGAGAATGTTGAAGCTGTGAAGGATATATTTCTTCGCTATTCAGTGTGTAACTTCAGATTTACAGTGGAGGCGGTAACCGTTTCTGAACACTGTTCATGTCCTTAAACTCTGTTATTCACCGGGGTAGATTGACCGTGGGCGACACGTTCCGGGTGATTTCACAGTCAGAGAGGCCTAAGACGGTGAAATTAACGGCATGCTTTCCTTATCTTGTAACGCTTGATTGCGTTAATTTAATACATGTTAAGTTGATACACCTTGCATTACATATGGACACCACGTTCGGTAATACAAGAATATAATACGTTAAAGTTTTACACAGAAAATAATGATGGATCAAGTCGGCTTAATGACAGTATTGACAGATCGTAGCTGCGATACTCTCTTTATGGTCTGAAATCAGAGGCTGTTATACCAAGTGGTGTGTCAACGAGAACTCGGCACATTGAATGTGTTGTAGATACTTTTCTGTTTGATGTGTCGTTAGGCTGAGTAGTACTCAGTGAAATTACACAGCATGCCCTCCCCTGTGATGCGTAAAGTATGAGAACTTAAGCAAGCATTCGATGTAATCATACTAGATGTACGCAACAAAATATAATGAAAATATAGATATAATCAACGATTTGTTTAGGCCTACTTTGGAGTCCCTAGGCAATTGGATAATGTGGTTATTCGCATTGGGTGTTCATCATACAGTACAACAGTTGCGACTGGATAAACTATATTGGTTTTCTGTGATACAGTGGCGGGTGAGACAAATACTTTTGTTTTTAGAATGGCGGGAATATTACTTCATCAAATACAAACTTGGGAGAGTCCGCTGTTAAAAATGCTGTAGAATTTGTGTCTATCCCTGGTAGTAAGTTAAGTACGGCAATTTCACGTTACCTATGCCGTGGGCACCTTTAGATATATCTGATATGTGGTATGGGTATCAGCAGAATTCAGTCTTTGCGGACTCATTTCAGTTTCAGGTTAATTTTACTCCTTTATTTACAAGAAAATCAGACCGCAACACATCTAGACATAGCATCTCCACGCTCTGCTGTTTAATAGAATCATTGAATGTGGCAGCTCAATGACAAGGAGATAAAGCGGGATTATTTACGACATAACAAAAAATAAAACCGATTAAATTTGACCTGGGTGTTGTGTATACAAACAGCATTAATCTTGTTCAGTCTTTTATGGCTGTAGCGTAGTGATAAGCTGGTGTCAGTTACCCACCCGTCCGAGAATATATTATTTTGTTGTTCATTTTCTCGGTCAATGACTGTTAGCTTTTTATAATGTACACTGTTAGGCGAAAGTAGTTCATGCTCGTTAAATTATAAATTACAGCCTGTTTTGTGTGTGTAGTTAAACGATTTGCTGCTGGGTGTATGTCATTTTAACTAATGGCGACCAAGTTCATTCAGTGTCACCATTCTGACGGTGTCACCATTCACACCGTGTCACCTATCACAAGGACTCGCATACCGTGTCACCTATCAAACTTACAGACACAACGTATCACCAATCACACCGTATCACCGATCTCACCGAGTTACCAATCACCCGCACACACCTTTACTATCCTTAGGATAACAACTGTAGTCATCCAACCGGATGTACCATAAATAATGACTCTAAAGTCGAATAAAGTGTTTATCACCCACCTATTTTTTTTTAATAATAAAGTACAGGATTTCAGGTTAAGCTTGTTGCTAACTGTAGTAGTTTGTTCATAGCTGGCCTCTCACTTATGTACTTACCTACTAACCCAGTTCCCAGCCTTTCACAGAGGCAGCATAGACTCTCCACGAATATCGAACATATACCCTCCTCGACTATTGAACATATACTCTCCACAACCATTGAACATATACTCTCAACTATCGAACATATACTCTCCACAACTATCGAACATATACTCTCCACAACTATTGAACATATACTCTCCACAACTATTGAACATATACTCTCCACAACTATGGAATATATACTCTCCACAACTATCGAACATATACTCTCCAGGACTATCGAACATATACTCTCCACGACTATCGAACATATACTCTCCACGACTATCGAACATATACTCTCCGCGACTATCGAACATATACTCTCCGCGACTATCGAACATATACTCTCCACGACTATCGTACCAATTAGAGCAATACACTATATGTAGACTTGCGGTCGGGTCCTGTGAGAAAAATGTATTCAACGTTTTAACAACTTTTTTTTCTTATAGATTGACCCGCATTGCTGTCAGCGGTGATCACGTGTCTGTTGCTTACTGCCTGACTACCATCACACAGCTCGGACCCTGCACGTGCCTGTTGAGTACTGCCTGACGGTCAAGACACCACTGTGAACTCCGAGCACCTACACAGCAACACACCACACCAGAGAACGGATAACCAGGAGCGGGCCATGGCCAAGGCCGCCCAGTTTGAGTCGGACTCGTTTGTTGGCCAGAAACCAGACATGGCCCCTTCAATGGCCCACTGTAAGAAAATGGCTCAGGTTTCTTTTATAAGTTGTTGTATATCTGTAAATACATTAACTGTAGGCAGTCGGCATAAAGAGGTTTAAAGGGTGGGGCTAGGGAGTATAAATGTCAGGGCACTGGTTAGGCTCTGGTTATGACACTAGTGTAGGCAGGGTTGGGAGATTGAAGGCAGCAGTCCAAGTGTAAACTCCTGCCCTGTTAGGCAAACTTGAGAACTAACCCTTCTAACTTATTCACATTCATCATTGCATTCTAAAAATGCATTTATATTCTTACTTTAAAATTTACTGCTGAATAATAAGAAAAATTCTAGTTTTCTTTCTATTTAGTTATTCAACACATTAGCTTATACAGTATTATATATTATTTTATACTACCAAACTAGATAAACTAAGAAAACATGTCTGCTGCTCTTGTATTCCAGTGACCCTCAGTGAAGAGCTGTCAGGGTCCACCGTGTCCCTCAACAAGCGCAGCATGGTGCTGGACGAGGACCGCTTCGAGGAGCAGTTCCTGCGCTGCAACATCTGCCGCGACCGCTTCTGCAACGAGATGCTGCCCAAGATGCTCCCATGCCACCACTCCTTCTGCCAGAGCTGCATCGAGAATTTGTTCCTCATAGCCACTGAGCAACGGCATAACTTCCATGCCTCGATCCGCCTGCCGATATCCGCCCCGGCTTCGGCTGTCAACGTCAGCTGCCCAACCTGCAGGTCAAACTTCATCGCGACGGATGAGAATATAAGAAAACTGCCCACTGACCACAGGGTTGTGCAGCTCATGGACTTTGTCCACCACACTGAACGCTATACGGTGACCTTCTGCTCAAAGCACAACATCCAGCCGTTAAATTTCTTCTGCGAGCCGTGTATAAAACCAGTCTGCCGCGACTGCACGGTGCTTGACCACAAGGAATCTGAAGGTCACCTGGTGATGGACCTGGACGAGGCCATGAACAAGTACAAGCCTGTTCTGGACAACGCCATCAGCGAGATGGACTCGGAGTGTATCATGATAGACGAGAAAAGGATCGTCTTGGACTCGGTGGTGAAAAATTTAGAGAAAGTAAAAGCAGATCTGCTGATGGAGGTGAAGTCATGCATGGCAAAAATGAGAGAGCTCATCGATGAACGGGAAAGAGTTCTCCAGGCTAAAATCGAATCAGAGACTGAAATCGAGCAGGGGAAGCTTCTAGAAAAATCTGATCTCCTGGACAGTCGCAGAAAGGTGCTGGTGCAACAGGCGGACAGGCTGCGTCAAGCCAAGGCAGACAGTAATGTGGAGGAGATGTTCCGCATACACCAGGAGGTCAGGGAGTACAGGGCGGGCCAGCCAATCAAAATCAGGGAGGTGGATGACGGGTTAATGACCTCGTTCCAGCTCAACACCAGGGACGAGCCCATGCTGGCGTCACGCATCAACAACTTTGGGGACGTGGTGACTAAGGTGGAGACCACTTCGTCCAGGATCAAAACCACCATGGGTAAACCTTATATATACAGGTCCAGCTCATACAGATAAACAAAACAAAAAAAATCATCCTTAAAGTTTTTTTTTTAATCTACAGTCTGTAGTTATCTGAGGTTGAGGAAATAATTTTTTTTACAAGTAAGAGACTCAGGAATTGAAACATGAAATTTTCTTTGAATACAAATTATTTTTACAATGAATGGTGCAATCTCAAACAGTAGGTAACAGATTGAAATTTTCTGTTAATTTACCTTTTTTCTCATTTCATCAGACATGCTAAAAATGTACAGCAGATGTGCAGGTTCCTATGTAAATATTGTTTATATGTCTAATTTGTTGATTGTATTTTTTTCCAGTGTTTTTTATATTACCAACAAGAAAAATTTTAATGTATGTAGCTATTGATTTATTTAAGCTCACTACTTGCTGTTGTGTTTCTCTGTATTTGATTAGTACAGTTTGTGCAATACCTTTTCATACTAAGAGCTTTCTTTGAATTAAGGACGTTAGAAAAAGGCACTTTGTAAGATTTACATTTTTTTAAAAATAAGATTGGGAGCTTTTTCAACTATTTGTTTTCCCAGTTAGATTCGATTTTTAATTTAATAAATATCTGATGTTGATTTTTTTTTTTTTTTTGTGAAAACTTTTTAAAACTATTTTTTAAATTTTTAGTTAATTATGTAGCCTATTTACCAATTTTAATGACTTCATGTTTGTTTTTAAAAAAAAAATTGTGTGGTAAAAATGGCATTGCTGTAAAATCTCCTACCACCCATGACCTTATTAAAATCTTGTCAATGGATCTATTCATTCTGCTGCAATAAATATTGTGACACTTAGGGGTGCTTGAACAAAGGGAGACAACTTTTTTAAAAAATTCAAGCTTTTTTTTTTACATGTTAAAAAGTTAATTCTACTTCCAATACAACAATCTTCACACACGAAAACTTACATATACAATTTTTAGTTACTCATTTTTCAGTTAGACACTTTCAAACTTATTCTTTTTTAAAACAGCATACAATGAAAGAAGAGGTGTAGGATTTTTGTACATGTTCCACAAAAATTAATATAATGCACGGTTAGCATTCATCATCTTGTTTTCTTGGAGGTGAGGTGTGTACGAACCAGGGCCTCTATGCTTGTGAATGGTTGCTCTATGATGACAATAAACATCAGGGCCAGGCACCAGCAGGACACGAAGTTGGCAATGTAGCCGTAGGTCTGTTGGAGGTAGGAAAATTGTATTAGTTACAAAGTTGGCAATGTAGCCAATGTAGGAAAATTGTGTTAGCTCCAGACAAAGTAGAGAGCTGATTGCTAACCTGCAAGTCTCGAATCCGGTTCAAGTAAGTAGATCGTCCCTGAGTCCACCCAACTCTGATGGGTACCTAACTCACGTTAGGGAAAGTAAAGGCAGCTGAGCATAGTGCGACCACACTATCTCTTCATATGCCGAGGTCACAGAAACAAGTGAACTCTACTTCACTTGCCCCATAGACCGTCAGGTTTGAAAGGGAACTTTACTCCTCTGTCTTTTCCAGACAAAGTTGGCTATGTAGCCATAGGTCTGTTGGGGGGGGGGGGGTAGAAAAATATTAGCTACGGACATAGTTGGCTATGTAGCCATAGGTCTGTTAGAGGTAAGAAAATTTTACACAAAGTTGGCTACGTAGCTACCATCTGCTCTAACCATCTACCTAGACCAACCTGTGTACCTACCATCTGCTCTAACCATCTACCTAGACCAACCTGTGTACCTACCATCTGCTCTAACCATCTACCTAGACCAACCTGTGTACCTACCATCTGCTCTAACCATCTACCTAGACCAACCTGTGTACCTACCATCTGCTCTAACCATCTACCTAGACCAACCTTGTGTACCTACCATCTGCTCTAACCATCTACCTAGACAGTGTACCTACCATCTGACCAAATGTGACATACTGGTTACTGTACCCAGAGTTGAGAGAGACTTCAATCAGTATGGGGTGAATCAAAAACACTCCGTACGTGATCCGACATAGGGGAATGAAAAAGTTCCAGGACAGAATCTTTGAGATAAAACCTAGCAAGAATATAGAAAAATTGGACGCATTTTATATAATACAAATATTAAATGTACACACATGCAGACCCAACACATTAATTTTATACATTTCTAAATAAGTGTGTATCAGCATTCATATGATTCCACAAGACACTTACCTCCCTGTCCATTACAACATGTAAATATGACCCAGGCTTACCTCCCTGTCCATTACAACATGTAAATATGACCCAGGCAACACTTACCTCCCTGTCCATTACAACATGTAAATATGACCCAGCCTTACCTCCCTGTCCATTACAACATGTAAATATGACCCAGCCTTACCTCCCTGTCCATTACAACATGTAAATATGACCCAGGCAACACTTACCTCCCTGTCCATTACAACATGTAAATATGACCCAGCCTTACCTCCCTGTCCATTACAACATGTAAATATGACCCAGCCTTACCTCCCTGTCCATTACAACATGTAAATATGACCCAGGCAACACTTACCTCCCTGTCCATTACAACATGTAAATATGACCCAGCCTTACCTCCCTGTCCATTACAACATGTAAATATGACCCAGCCTTACCTCCCTGTCCATTACAACATGTAAATATGACCCAGGCTTACCTCCCTGTCCATTACAACATGTAAATATGACCCAGGCAACACTTACCTCCCTGTCCATTACAACATGTAAATATGACCCAGGCTTACCTCCCTGTCCATTACAACATGTAAATATGACCCAGGCAACACTTACCTCCCTGTCCATTACAACATGTAAATATGACCCAGCCTTACCTCCCTGTCCATTACAACATGTAAATATGACCCAGGCAACACTTACCTCCCTGTCCATTACAACATGTAAATATGACCCAGGCAACACTTACCTCCCTGTCCATTACAACATGTAAATATGACCCAGGCTTACCTCCCTGTCCATTACAACATGTAAATATGACCCAGGCTTACCTCCCTGTCCATTACAACATGTAAATATGACCCAGCCTTACCTCCCTGCCCATTACAACATGTAAATATGACCCAGGCTTACCTCCCTGTCCATTACAACATGTAAATATGACCCAGGCTTACCTCCCTGTCCATTACAACATGTAAATATGACCCAGCCTTACCTCCCTGTCCATTACAACATGTAAATATGACCCAGGCTTACCTCCCTGTCCATTACAACATGTAAATATGACCCAGGCAACACTTACCTCCCTGTCCATTACAACATGTAAATATGACCCAGGCTTACCTCCCTGTCCATTACAACATGTAAATATGACCCAGGCAACAGCCAGGGCCCAGCTGGGGCGGCTAATGGCCTCATATAGTGACGTCTCAATGCCAGACCACCTGTCTCCCCCCACCTGGTTCTCCATGTAGGTGATGTAGGGCAAGATGGCCACCACGGCCAGGCACACGACCCAGCCCACATAGAGAGGGATCTGAGGGATACAAGCCCACGTATATAGAGAGAGTGTGAGGCATACAAGACAACATTTAGGGATCTATAAAGTGCATCTGTAAAGTAATACAAGATTTCATATAGAGGGGTCTGAAAACACCAGTCACATATAGTAAAAATACCATAAAGATGTTTTTAAAATATGGAAATATGTATTTGTAATAAGTGTTATTTTTTAGCGCAATTTCCAGTGATGGATGGATGTGTGTCCGCAGCTTTAAGTCGTATCTCCTCAACGAAGCAATATCGAGGACTAGTTCCAAATCAAATATGTTAAGCAAGTTCCGAGGATGATTGTGGGCCAAAAGAATTCCCGGAATTCCTTCCTGGATTTCCCGGAATTCCTTCCTGGATTTCCCGGAAAAGCCAAAAAAACTCGAAAAAATGCAGTTTTTGGCCCATATCTCGGCAACCAGACCATAATTTAGAACAATATTGCCGAAGAAAGTTTTCAAAAATATCCTTTCGTTCGGTCACAAAAATTTTTTTATAATTACATAAACACCTACAAACCGATCGTTCTCCTAGCTTGAACGCACCCAAACTTGATCACAATCTATTTTTAGATAACATAAGGAAATTGCGCTTAAATTGTCACTAGACTTTTTATTAACTTGTTTTGTAATATGAATATTGTTTATATTTATTGTTAGGGACTTTGCTTGTTTTTTTTTTAAATAATATTTATAACAAGGTTCACTCACACCCCCCTCCCCACACACACATACCCACACCTACCTGACGTAGGCGTATCTTCTTGTCTCCTGTGTAGAGCAGGTAGCCGAGACCAAGCCCTATAGCGTAAGCCCCCACACGGCAGTAGGGCTTCACGTAGACCTTGGAGAAGTAGTCGGTGTTGCTCATTCTGTGGAGGCAGAGGGGAACACTGTCAACATGTCAGGGGGAGGGAAGGGGTGTTTATAACAGAAGGGTACCGAGGTTACAATTGACAAAGGGGGGCGACTAAAAAGTGTGGGAGGGGCATTTGGGGGAATAGACAAGGATATTTAAGAAATGTGACATTTTTAATAAATAAGAATTAGCAGATCATTTATGATGGAATTAAGGTTGTTTTTAAAAAGGCGAGAGGTTGAAATCTGCCACAAATACCATCTGGATTATACTATTAGAGCACAACAGCTGCAGTGTTTCTTCCAGACTATTTCTCCGGGGGGGGGGGGGGCACTTGAAATTTTCGGGGGGTGGGGGGCGTGCACTGTTAAAAGTATATATTTCCTATATAAATTATATAAATTTCATTTCGGGGGGGGGGGGGGCGGTAGAATTTTTTCGAAGAGATACCTGGAAGAATCTCTGAACAGCTGGCATTGTGGGCTTTTAGAATGGAATATCTGTATGTATATGAGTGTGTATATATATATATATATATATATATATATATATATATATATATATATATATATATATATATATATATATATAAAAACATTTGTTAACAACTGATTGCGGCCTATTACCTTAAAATGCTTCCATTAATGCCAGTGTTAATTACCATCACGGACGTTATTTGGACTCCAATTAGCAGCACCACTAGGAGGAACCCAATTACTGGGTAGCTGTATCGGCAAAGTTAAACAAGAAACAATAGAAGACAAATCAGGACCATCAACACTATTCTATTAACTTTGTTCTTGATATAAGTTTATTTTAAATAATATCTTATGGGTGCACTGTTTAGTTTATTACTTAATAAATATGTTTCTGTATACTGCATATAAATTCATGTTTATTTTATTTTAAAAAAAAGATTATTGCAAATATTTTAAAATTGGAGAGAAAAAAATAACTTTTTTTAAGGGGTTACTAATTTTTCATGCTTTTAACTCTAACGATTAAATAGTCGATTGTCGAACTTACCACAATAATGGTATGGCTACTAAGGGAGCTAACAAAGAAAATTGAAGGTCATTGACGAGGTAGTATGTCCATGGCATGCACTGAAAGAAAGATATTAATAAACAAAATTATCTCGGGAAAAATGTTAGATAAGCTTTAAGTGGTAGGCATTAGATAGTAGCGTTTTAATTTAGTTTCAAGACGGAAAGCTCTTGTCATTAGATAATTAAATGCTTTGTCAGCAATTGTATAAGAAAAACGAGGTAAGGAATGCCTAGCTTTAAAATTGATTATTAATTCCAATTGATAAACGTTAGGCCTAATTAAAAACTTTTCTGCACACTTTTTATAGAATGTAAAATGTAGTTTGAGGAGGGGGGGGGGGGGTGCAAATGGAAATCTTGAGGGGGGGGGGGGTGCAAATCGAAAGTTTGAGGAGGGTGCAAATCGAAAAAATCTTGAGGGGGGGGGGGGTGCAAATCGAAAAGTTTGTCCCCGGGCGCCGGTAAGGGTCCCTACGCCTCTGTGTATGGGGAGGGGGTGGGGGGTTCCTACTGAACTGCGTGTAAACGTGGGTTGTGAAACTGGATGTGCGATACATTCTGTCAACGAAGAGCTACATTTATTGCAAAACGGTTGTTTCGTTAGCGTTCGCGTTATTTTAGGGGTGCGGGTTTTCATTTTGGTCGAGGGGTTAAGGTCAAATATCAGTTCAACTCATCGTGTTGTACTGACAGCCCCTAACCCAAACACTAACCTTCAATGTAAACATGACAGAGATAGCACAAGAGAAAGACTCGTTACGATATTCTATTGCCATACAGTGGATGAGAGGAGAGATTTATTTGATTTTAATTACACAGACACTGGATGTTAAAATACATTAAAATACATGTGGCTACTCGCTAGCCACATAAACTGTGACAACTCACCATACTGTCAGCCTTGTAAAAAGTTGCTGGAGGGATATATGTCCTAATATTATAGCAGCACAAAAGCCAACAACTCAACATATTGTCTGACTTGTAAAAGTTGCAGGATTGATATATTAGTCCTTACATTACTGCTACATTAAGGGCGACAACTCACCATACTGTCTGACTTGTAAAAGTTGCAGGATTGATATATTAGTCCTTACATTACTGCTACATTAAGGGCGACAACTCACCATACTGTCAGCCTTGTAAAAGTTGCTGATGAAGAGCAGGTTGGCCCACCAGTGGTCCGGACAGGCCGTGTTGGGTTTCATGCCGTATCTCATGTCCACCCCCCCCGTCACTCATGTAGGGGCCGAGGTTAGTGTACACCATCACGATGAAGTAGAAGCACAGGCACGATCCTGGTGGAGAGGGTTAGGGTTAGATGATTTTTATACAAGACTCGGTACAGAGGGTTAGGGTTAGATGATTTATAGGTTCAGAGGGTTAGGGTTAGATGATTGTATAGGACTTCTAGGTACAGAGGTTTAGGGTTAGATGATTTTATAGGTTCAGAGGGTTAGGGTTAGATGATTGTATAGGACTTCTAGGTACAGAGGTTTAGGGTTAGTTAATTTTATAGGTTCAGAGGGTTAGGGTTAGATGATTGTATAGGACTTCTAGGTACAGAGGTTTAGGGTTAGATGATTTTATAGGACCTCTTAGTTCAGAGGATTAGGGTTAGGGGTCATCCATAAATGACGTCACACTCGTAGGGGGAAGGGGGGGGTCCGTGATTTTGTGACGATGTGTGATGAGGGGGAGGGGGGGGGGGGAGGTTCAGATGGCTTGCGCCCGTCACATTTTTGCATTATAAAAAAAAGCAATGTTAGAAAACGAATTTTAGGCGTTATTTTGCGTTTTAGATAACTGTTTTAATAAATTGTAATAGTTTAGACAAGGTTTTGGAAAAAATATCGATGTTTTAAAAAAATTCAACTGCAATTTTGAGGGGGGTTGTAGGTTGAGGGTGTGACGTCATTTTAGGGGGGGTCTGACTTTTTGTGACGACGTGTGACGGAGGGGAGGGGGGGAGGTAAAAATCGTCAAAAAAAAGCGTGACGTCATTTATGGATGACCCCTTAGATGATTTTATAGGACCTCTAGGTTCAGAGGGTTAGTGGATCGTATAGGGACGGCTTGGAACTAAAGGGTTAGGGGACAGTTCGGTACTAGAGGTTTAGGGGACAGTTCGGTACTAGAGGTTTAGGGGACAGTTCGGGTACTAGAGGTTTAGGGGACAGTTCGGTACTAGAGGATTAGAGGACAGCTCGGTACTAGACGATTAGATGACAGCTCGGTACTAGAGGATTAGTTGCTTTTACATGACGGCTTGGTACTAGATGATTCGGGTTAGTTTGATTTTATAGAACGATTTGGTACTAGAGGGTTAGGGTTAGCTGATTTTATAGAACATCTAGGTTCAGAGGGTTAGGGGATTTTATAGGACGGTTCGGTGCTGGTTTAGAGGGCTTGGGTTTAGTAGACGAAAGATAAATATTTCATAGAAGGGCACGATCCTGGTAGAGAGTTAGGGCAGTGGCGTAGCGAGGGTCGGGTGTCAAACCGGTGCGGCTACTTAATGGTGTCCCCCCCCCCCCTCGAACTTTCGATTTACACCCCCCTCCTCCAAGTTTTTCTCTATACATTTTGCTAATTTTTTGGCCTTGGTGTCACCCCCTAAATGGTGTCACCCGGTGCGGTCCGCACCCCCCCCGCTCCCCCCCCCCCCCCGCTACGGCCTCTGAGTTATGGTAAGGGTTAGTTGATAAAAGTGAAATAGAAAGGCAGCCAGCATTATGGTTGGGAGAACTATCATTGGTGGTGGACAAAAAAAGAAAAAGCATTCTCAAGTCGAAGTTAACGGGCAACAGTTGAGATAGAAGAAGAAGCATTTAGAGTTGTGCTACAACTTCACGCTGGTAACATGGAGATGTTGGTGTTCTATTTAGAACTGAACAATGTAGCAATTTAAAACGTTTTATAGTTTAAAGTAGCAATGTAAGAAGATTTACAGTTTAAAGTAGTAATATACGAAGACATTCAATTTAAGAAATTCTGACCTCTGATCCAAAGTGCACAGTGTTGGTGAAGACATTTACCAGGCAACAAAAAAAAAGTAAAAACGCGACACTTACCTGGCCAATCTGTGTATACATACTCATAAAGTATTCACCAGGGGAGAGAACCTTCAACATGTTTGTATTCTTACTCCCCTTTTTCTGTTTCATGAAATTGTACGCGAACAGCGTCCACTACAAGAAAAAAAGTTCTTACATAGTCGGTAATTCAATACTAAAATCGTATGATAAAAAACCAAAGCTAGCAATGTTTTAAAATTAAATAATGAGACAAAACTGTGTCTAGTCATACAATAACAAAATCGTATGATATAATACTCAAAGGCTAGCAATTTTAATGATTCTGTATTCATGAAATTGTGTCTGCCCATTCAATACTAAAATCGTATGATATAAAACCCATAGGCTAAGCAATATTTTAAAACTATACTAGTAAAATTGACAAAATTGTATCTGCCCATTCAATACTAAAATCGTATACTATTACTATAACACCAGAAAGCCCAAACGTTTTAAAATTAATAGAACAATAAATAGATAATAAATAGACTGTACCTCAGCACAAAGAAAGTGTCAGCGGCAAAGGTTGTGTTGATCATGGCTTGGACCCAGAAAGATTGGGTCAGCTTGACCACCTCGATGCTGTTGTCTTTGTTTAAAAAAATATACTTTATTATTATCGTATTTATTTTTGTATGTTCTACATGAATATACTTATGCCTATGTAAGGTCATCTGCATCTTTATATGAATATGTAGATACAAATACATTTATCGCCTCCCCAGAACTAGAGTGTTCTACAATGCTTTATAGTTTTGTTTTCCTTAACATTTCTATAGTAACCACGGGATAAAAAGATTGTCAGAAATACGACCGCGCAATTTATATATATATATATAGTATAAATTATATAATATATATATATATATATATATATATATATATATATATATATATATATATAATATATATATATATATATATATATATATATATATATATATATATATATATAATATATAATATCTATAGTATATATATATATTATATTATATATATATATATATAATATACTATATATAGATATATTATTTATAATATTATATATATAT